CTTGATGGTGAAAAAAAGCTCATTATAAAAAATCTTTGCTGATCTTTTTATTTTTTCTCTCTGTATTGTCTGCTTTCATTTTCATACTTAAATGTCTTTGGTATGACTTTGCTTAGTTTCAAACTTCACAAAGTTTTCTTTAAGCGGGTTTGACACTGTCTCGCATCTATGTTTTATTAAGTAACACTGCCCTTAATCTTCCACCATTCTTTTCCATTAGACTTTACAAATGATTTTATATTCTAAACTAGTGTCACCTTTGACCACAACTCTCTGTCTAGCAAATAAGTCAAGTGTTTGCCTACAGAGACAGAAATGCGGTGCAGGAATAGAGCATGGGGTCTGGAGAAAGGAAGTCTTGAGTTCAAATTCTGCCCAAGACACTTATTTAGTGCTCCATCAATAATGAGCTATTTCCTGTCCATTAAGATACAATCAATTTAATTTCTGGCGACATTATTTAGTATTCAACAGGTCTATAATGTTCTGATTCTTTTCTCAAAGGAATTATTCTGATACAGAGGCATGAGATTTCTGTTTAGTTTATTAATTGCTGAGCCATACTTTCTCATTTATTTCTAATAATTCCCACCTTTGCATTGAAGTCACCAGGCATCAAAATATATGTTGATTTAATTTGGAGGATCTTATTAAGTTCTTTGTAGAATTTCTTTTTATTCTCTACGATAGATTTTGGTGAATAAGCTTGAAAAAAACATTTTCATGTTTTTCCCCAAATGCATATCGTTAAAACAGCAATATGAGATAATAATAAAATATCTCATGAAAGGATGTTTCTTTTGCCTCTGGGTACATGGGATAAATCCAACTTCCTGAACTCTATTATTTGTATCTTCAAGGGAAACCTGTGAGAAATCCTTTCCTTCAGCCACTTCTGGTTTCATTTAAAGTGAGAATGTTGAGACCAAAGCAATTCTGTTCCTCTAGAAGCATGTCCCCTCATGGAGGCATTGAAGAACCTCCCATTTAAAGAATCAGCAGCTTATTTAAAGCATATAGATGGTCCAAACATTTTGTGACTCTTAGTACCCTAGGCCCCCTTTCCTGCTCCTTTGCTGGGTGCCACATAGGACTGAGAACCACTTTGTATTTTTCACTGATTTATGGACAACCATGACCCAAACGTTTATTACAGAGTGGACACTGGTGATGAGGCTTTCCAACCTTAGGTAGGCTGGTCCTCAGGAAGCAGATTCAATCTGCTGCTTGGATGTGCCCAAAACCTCTTCAGTCTGGTGGAATATCTGAGAGCTTCTTGATAGAAACAGCACAGTCTTCAAGAACCCAGGGTCAACTCTCTACCATAGGGGCAACTTTGTGTCTGCTGTATATAACACACACTATCAGACTTCCAATAAGAATGCTTAACCCAAGGGGTTTTCCACCTTTATTGGGCCACAGACCCCTTTGAGGTCGGTCATATCTATGGGCCTCCTTTTCAGAGCATTGTTTTTTAAATGCACAAAATAAAATACCTATGATTACAGAGGAAACCAATTATGTTGAAATTCAGTTACCACAATATCTTTTTTAAAAACAAGTTCATGAACCCCAAGTTAGAAATTCCTACCTTAAACATGGCTTTAACTCTAACCTTGGGAGTATATGCTGTAGAAATTCTTTCTAGATGAAACTGTCTTATAATGAAATACTTGAACACTTTTATAAATCGAACCCTTTTGATAAGACCAGAAGATCCACGTCAACACTAAATTCTACTGCATAATGATTATTCAGAATAGATACACATAAGCATATATATATATATACGTATGTATGCATATACATTATTTTAAAACATTACCTCTTGCAAGTCATGCACAGTATGTTGTATGCTAAAGATTTTAAAAGGGTGAGTCATATATTTATTTGATGTAGCAAACCATAGGAAGCCATGGTCAGTTCTTTAGCAGTAGAATGACAAGATGAAAGCAATATTTTAAGAAGACTAGTCTGGTAGTATTAAATAGGAAATTACAGTCAGAGAAACTAATTAGGAGGCATTTATACAGTTTATTTCTGGGTGAGATAATGAGGTCCTAGGGCAATTAGGTGGTACAGCAGATAGAGCACTGGGCCTAGACTCTGGAAGATATGAATTCAAATTTGGCTTCAGACACTTACTAGCTGTATGACCCTGGGCAAGTTATTTAACCCTATTTGCCTCAGTTTCCTCATCTGTAAAATGAGCTGGAAAAGGAAATGGCAAACTACTCCAGTATCTGTGTAGTCACAAAGAGTTGGACACAATTGAAATGACTGAACAAAAAAGATGAGGTTCTGGGCTAGAATAGTGACAAATGGACAATGGGGAGAAATTGAGAGTTTTCAAAGAAAGAGACAATAGGACTTAATGAAACATTGGCTATAGGAGACAGAAGAGAGACTCATAGTTGACTTCTAGTTTCTAGCTAGGGAAAATGGAATCAGTGGCAGCATTTCTAAAGAATGTGGAAGCTAAGGAGGTGGTGTGTACTAATTACAATTATCACTTGTATTAAGTACACCCTTCCTCTTATTTGTAATAAAATCAATGGAGTTTTCAGTGAAGTATAACCACCTGTTGGGTAAAACTCTTCAACATTTTACAACTTCATTACAGAGCTAGTCCTTTTTGATCCTGAACAATAAAGATGATTATATCCAGACAAATTGTAGTGGGGACTCAAGAAAAGGAGGATATAATTATCCCTACAGGAATTTGGCTAAGTCACCAAGAGTCTGAGCAGCGCCATTCACCTGGCATGCTGTTTGCAATATCTTTCATCGAAGGATGTAAAGTGGACTTGGGCGATGTGACTTTTGAGGAAATTTGTAGGAAAGCAGAGATGGGAACGGGTGATATGTGGTGGACCAACATGGCCATGGTTTCATCTATATAGAACTTAATCTGGATTTATGTGATAAAAATAGTAAGCCAGTCCTTCTGAATCCTGTTCTCTTCACAACTTCTGGTAGACTCAGAACCTAGTCTTACTTTTCACAACCACCTAGCACATTAATTTGTGGAGCAGTGATGTCAAACTCAAATATTGACCTAGAAAACCACATATAACATTTATCTATGTTCTATTATATTTTTAGTTACTTTGTTAAATATTTCCTAATTACATTTCAATCTGGCTCTGGCTACACTTGGGAGTGTGGAGGGCTACATGCAGCATACACAGCATATCTGACATCTCTGTTATAGAGTACTGTTTCTAAGATTCTGATCTCTTGCTCTATTTATTTGACTTTTTGTGTGGTTGGAGTTTCATTTCCTTACCTAGAGTGTAAGGTTCTTAAGTGCAAAGATTATATCCTATTCTTTTTTCTATCCTTCTCAGTGCCCAAGTTTCATACAAAATAGGTGCTCAATAAATACTTGGCAATTGATTGGCTAGTCTTTCTGTGTTCTTTATATGATCTCAATCAAAAGAATGGAGGATGACAGTAGATAATACTTTCCAAAATATCACTGGTTCTTCCTGATAACAAGATTGTTTTCTTTAGAACTGTAGATTTAGAGCTGGAAGGGGACTTTAGAGACTACCTATTGTGGATGAGGAACACAGGCCCAAAGAAGCTGTGACTTGTCCCAGGCCACAGTAAGTGATGCAGGTGGGATTTGAATCAAATTCCTTGAATCTCAAACCAGTGCTTTTGACCTCGCATTATGCTATCTCTCCTTATAAGTAAGATCACAATTATGGAAAATTGAACAAGCCAGCCTGTAAAATTTGGCCTTTATTCTGTAGGGAGCATTTTAGAGGCTAGTGTAGACAGTGCCTAATAGCGTTATATAAAATACTTAATTTAGGGGCTTACTTGAGAGTCTGGAAATATGACAACTATGATTCCCATTTTACAGAAGAGAAAATGGGCTCAGAGACATCAAGCGCCTTGCATCATTACTAGCTTTTGTTTTCAGAGTTATTTTACAAAGCTCTCTAGCTTCTTATGGGGGAAAAAAACCCCCAGGGTATGCTATGGTCATTGGACTGATCTTGTAAGAAAAAAAGTATTATAGTCATCTGCGCCATTTGGGATTTGAGTTTTCAGAATCCATCATTCCCCCGAGTTGCCACCTTTAAAACAAAATGAGGCACCTTTTTTTTCTTTTCGAGGCATAAATGCTTATCACCTTCAGGCTTACAGTTCATTGTAAGCTTAACAGTGAAGGACAGCCAGCATCTAAGGTACTAGAAAATACCAAGTACTGTTTCCAAGAGAGCCTACGGGGACTCCTTCACTGGACTTCAATACATAGTGAATGGCCCCCTAATTACAAACTGCTGGTGTTTTTATATTGGATGGGCACCGGATTGGCCCTACACAAGCTGAGGCAGAGCTACCGCTACCGAATGACCATTATTATTGCTTCTTCACATGAAACAGCAATGAATATTGATTCACATGCTGCATTCAGATTCTGTGTAGCAGAATGGCACTTTTCACAAATAAAACAGAAGTTGAAAAAATGAGTATTTCACTATATTTGATGAATTTGGGAATGCTGCTAAAATTGTAATCATCCAATCCTTCCTTTCTATTTGTCTGCCTATCTTTCCCATATGATTCTCTTGTTTATCTTTCTTCATCTCCCACACACAAAACTGAAAAGAAACCAGAGCATTTATAACTTGAGTATATTGATATTCATAATAATAATAACTAGCATTTACATAGCACTTTGAGGTCTGCAAAGTAGTTTACATATGTTATCCCTTCTGATCCTCACAACAACCTTGGGAGGGAGGTTCTACTGTTATCTCCATTTTTACAGATGAGGAAACTGAGGCAAAGAGAGGTTAAGTGACTTGCCCAGCATCACACAGCTAGTGTCTGAGGCAGGATTCAAACTCACATCTTCATGACTCTAGATCCAGTATTCCATGCACTGTGACCTTTAACTGCTGACTGCACCACCTAGCCTCAATCACCATCCTTGATCAATAAAAACAAAACATCAATAATGCATGTGAAAGCATACGTACATGTTAGTACGGCAGGAGAACGATTCTTCTGCACATTCTCTTCCTTCTGGGCTACCAGAGATGTGTTGGGTTCAGCCTGGTAGGCACAGAGTGCTTCCCACTCTTTCTCCAGTCGGTTCTTATTCTTCAAGTGATCTTCCATATAGGACTAAAATGAGAAGATGCAGGAATCAGGAAGGGTCTTCTCTGTTAAAGTTGGCCTGACGTTGCAGGTATCGTAGGGGCAAATAGTATCGACATATTAGAGGCAAAGCCTATAACTCACTTAGCTGTCTGAATGACATCTACTGCCTCGCCCAAAGTCCACTATGAAAATCATAGGTGCTAAAACAAGTATATCAAACTTGGCTAAATTTTCCACACTTCTTCCATTCAGGAAGCATCAGACAAAGACCTACAAGAGGGATAAGGCGGTTCAGCTGGTAGGGGAGAAGGAGAGGGAAAGAATTACAAAAGGAATACAGGCTGAGGTCTTTTTCCCTTTAGGATTTTATTCTATAGACAAGACATACACATTGTGAAGAAGTTAATTACTTAAGGCAGTATACCATTAAGTGCTAAATGAGTGCCATAGATAATAAGGGTTACAATAGTTCAGAGAAAGGGGAGATTAATGTGGGCTTAAGTGGTCAGGGAAGGTCTCACTGAATTCCCTAAGGCGGGATTTGAGCTGCGTCTTGAAAGCAGGGTAAGATTTGGATGCTGGTAAGAAGGATCATAGGCTCAGAAGAGCATAGATTTAGAACTGGAAAGGACCTTTCAGGTCATCTGGTTCAACCCCTCATTTTATAGGTGACAAAGTGGGGTCAGATGAGCTGGGTGACTTGCCCAGGGTCACACAGGTATTAAGTAGCACATTTGGGATTTGAACCCAGGTCATTTGGTTCTAAACTAATTGTTTATTCTACCATACTACCCCAATCAGAAATAAGCTTGGAATGTTTTAGTGTAGGGGCACAATCGGAGATTAAAAACTGACTGGACCGGAGTATGAAGAACTCTGAATGCTAGGTTGTAAAATTTGACTTGTATTCTCTAGGGAATTCTTGGCAGGCTAATATTCTAATCACTGGTCTATGGTGACTGACAATGTAATGCTGTTGTACAGTCATTTCAGTCGTGTCTGACTCTTTGCGACTCCATTTGGGGTTTTCTTGGCAAAGATACTGGAATGATTTGCCATTTATTCTCCAAGTCACTTTACAGATGAGGAAACTGAGTTGAACAAGTTTAAATGACTTGCCCAGGGTCACACAGCTATAAGTATCTGAGGTCAGATTTTAACTTCAGTCTTCCTGACCCCAGATCCAGCACTCTATTCACTGTGCCACCTAGCTGCTCTTGATAATGTAATCTAAAACAATATTAGAGAGGCAGATAGATGTTGCAGTGGATAGAACATTGGCCTTAGAGTCAGGAAGATCTGAGTTAAAATTCTACCTCAGATATGTACTGCTGCAGGATCTTGAGCAAGTTTTGCCTCAGTTTCTTCATTTGTAAAATGTGGACACTAATAGTATCTCCCAGGATTATTGGGAGAATAAAATTAGATAATATTTTGAAAGTACTTTTCAAACCTAACGCAATACACACAGTACATATATATACATATATAACATGTTAGCCATTATTATCATTATTATTATTATTCCTCACTTACCTCTAAATTCACATACAAAGGCTCTACTTTTAAAAAAATAAAATATCAACTTACCCTTTATTGTCAACTATAACTATTTGCATGTGTATGAGTATATGTATATAAAAGTCTGAATCAAAATCAAAGGGGTAAATAATAGCTTGAAACAATTATCTCATATAAAAGGACCTAGAAGCCAGAGATAAACAGCAACATTTCAGGCAAGCAGCATTTCTCCTAATAAACCCCAAAGGGGCAAGAAAAGCCACTAGATAGCATCTTTACAGATAAAGGCTTTGCAGGAAACCTTCCATTTTCTTTTTTCTTTTTAAGAGAACTACAAACTGCCTAATAGCTACTACCCTGTAAGTGATTCCCTTGAAATGTTTCCCTCAAAAAATAAAATCATAAGGATGCATCTTGTTTACTGTAAAAATCCCTTATCTGACCAAACCACCAAGTCAGCTAAGTACCTCCAAATATCTCACAGATAGCAGAGACCACTGTGTCCTTTATACAAAACTCTGGCATAGGTTTCAAGCCTTTATGTCAATCATCACAAAGAAGCTCAGTCTACAAGCTTCAGAAATTGCCAGGCCTTGGGTTTGTTCACTTTTCCAAAGGAAGCATTTATTTGTCAATAAAAAAAAAAAAGAGATGTGCATACTGCTCCGTAATTCACTATATCAGCTTCTACTAATTATCCTGATGGCCCTAAGACCATTCCTCAGAAGTGTATTAAGGAATTTACACAGACAATGAAAAAATGAATCCAGCCATTTTGCCCCATAGGAGTGTGTTAGGATTAGGCAGGTGTTTGGGAATCTGTTTACTGGCCAATGACTGCTCGGATGAAAACAACAGTCATCATATATCTTAATTAATATTCTGGGTAGCTTTGACCATTCTTCTCATGGGGCTTCCCCTCTTTCCCATTTTCTGTTTGCACAGAAGACATTTTTCTTTTAATTGGCACATTTTTCTAAATCTATTGGGCATGAAACATCGAAGATACTTGGCTGCCCTGACTCGTGCAAAATGTTTAACAGTTTGAAGCATTAAAAAAAAAAAAGAAACCAAATATTTTGACCCTCAGCTGTTCCTATCTTAATTTTTCTGGTTTCTTGACTATCAGAAGTAAATAATCAGATGTAGGGAAAAGGAGACAAAAACCCTCTGAACATTTTGCCATCAACAAAGACTACTGTGCCTACAAGCGCAATCCACTTTTCTCTCATTGATCTGTTCAGTAGGGAAACAACCATTCTTTTAAGGGAAAGCATTTCAAAGTACAAAACATGCGTGCATCACTGGCCCCAAAGGAAATGTTATTCTTCTTGGAACAAATGCCCTGTTACTCAGACTTTTTTTTTTGTTTGCATATTTTGCAATACAGTCACACAATAAAATGAGAATTCATGCTTCCCCCTCTCCCCAAATGTACTTATGCTAATCTGCACAGAAACTATGATTTCTTCTACTAACAGTTTTGGAAAATGTAATCTAATACCTAGAAATCTTCTAGGGAGGGGGTGGAAGGACTTCCTGCATTCACCTCCCAAATATTTAGCAGGCATTTCAAACTCAACATGCCCAGAATGGAGCACAATTTAAAAATAAAAGGCCCAAACCTTTTCCTCTTCAGAACTTCTCTATTTTGTCACAATCCTCCTTCCAGCCCTGCAAGCTCACAACTTCAGGGTCATCCTCAACTCCTCACTCTCATTCACCCCACATATTCAACCAGTTATCAGATTTTGCCATTTCTTTCTCCACATCTCTCATGTACACATGGCCCTTATTCTACTTCAGTTCCATCCCCTCTTAGCTTTGGACTGTTGCAAGAGCCTTGTTAATTGTTCTTCTTGCCTCAAATCTCTCCATACTCCACATAGTTGTGAAAGTGATTTTTGTGAAGTGAAGAGATTAACCATATTATCTTCCCCATTCAAGAAACTCCATTGACTCCCTAATACCTTTAGGACAGGATTTTTTGTGTCAGGGACTTCTTTGACAATGTTTGCTGTTGTTCGGTTGTGTCTGACCTTTCATGACCTTGTGGACCATAAGCATGCCAATGTTGTCCATGGGGTTTTCTTGGAGTGGTTTGCCATTTCCTTCGTCAGTGGGTTAAGCAAACAGAGACTAAGTGAGTGACTTGTCAATGGTTACACAGTTGGTAAGTATCTGGGCTGGATTTGAACTTAGGTCTTCCTACTTCGGACCCAGCATTCTATCTACTGAGCCACTTAGCTGCTTCCTTTGACAGTCTAATGAAGCCTATGGACGTTCCCTCAGATAATATTTTTAAATGCAATAAATAAAATGCATAGCGTTACAAAAGGAAACCAAGATATTGAAATATAGTTATCCAATTATTTTAAAAACAAGTTCACAGACCCCAGGTTAAGTAAGAACCCTTTCTCTAGGATCAAAAATAAACTCCTCTATTTGGCATTTAGAGCTTTTCACAAACGGCTATCTTTCCAGTCTTCTCAGACGTTACTCCCTTCCATCCCCCTTTCCACGCTCTCTAATTCAGATCCTTCATCTCTCATCTCTGCGACTTCCTATAGGCTATTTTCCATGCACCAGGCACCCTGGCTCCTCACCTCTGCCTCCAAGGATCCCTGGTTTCCTTCAAAACTCAGTTTTAAACATACTTTCTGCAGGAAATCTTTTCCAGTATTCACAGCTGCTCATGCTTCTTTCCTTAAGAGTACCTGCCTCTCCTCTGTATGTATTTCACATGGAACTATTTATGTAAATATGGTCTCTCCAATTAGAATGGAGACTTCTTGGGGACAAGACCATTTTGGCTTTTTTTTTTTAAACACCAATGCTTAGAACACACTAAACACTTAACAAAGGCTTGTTGATTAAATGATTGGTTGATATTTCTGTGGTTTATCCGAGTGAATTTCTTCCTCCTTATTGATGTTTGGACAATTTGCTACTTATTCACATCTTTCCTAAATGACTGACCCTTTAGACAATTTTGTGGCACCATGACAAAACTTACAAAAGTTTTTGAAGAGAATACAGTGAATCTCAGATGAGTTTTTGATATTTTAATTATTGTGATTGGAAGCTGTCTTGGGACAATGCTTGATTTATAAAAATTTTCCAAAGCCCCTGGCACACTGTAGGTATGGAATGGAAGGGAATAAACATTTTTAAGTACCTCCTGTGTCCCAGGCACTGAGCTAAGTGCTTTAGAAATATTATCTCACTGGATTCTCATAACCCTGGGACAAAAGTGCAGATACTCAACAGAGTAACTGACTCCTAAATGAAACACAAACTTATTTGCCTGGCATTCTAGGCCTTGCACAATCTTGTGCTGCCCTGCCTTCTCATCCTGATTGCTTATTTCTTACAACTTTCCATGCTCCAGAAGTCCAAACTGGACTTCTCCTTCTGCCCTCCAAACAGGCCATGCATCCTTCGGCCTCCATTTGCTTTACTTACCTTAACTTCTTCAAGCTTCTGTTCACATTGTGCTCAGA